CCCTCAGGTCTTCGGCAGGGCCTTGGCCATCCAGTTGGATTGGGCTGACAGGGTCCCCCAGAAGGGAACCAGGTGAAGACACAGCCCATGTGAGTGCCAAGGCCTGAATCCTGTGCTGGTCTTGGGCAATGCCTGGCACTTTATCCAGGTAAATGGTCTTTACCTGGATAAAGTGCCGGGCTGGCCATGAGGCCACAGTGGGCCACAGGGCTCATGTCTGCGGGGCATGACCTCAGCTCTGTATTGGCCCCGCTTTGAGCAATTTACAGATGATCAAGTCTCAGGAGTGACAGATGTCAGCCGGCAACCATGGTCAGAGTGACTCAGGGCACGGATCGGGTTGCGTGTATCATGCTCTCAGAGCCCGAATGGGAAATCAGTACTAATTCTTCACATAGCAGGCAAACCCCACCACGGGGAGGGGTGGGCTGAACCCTGAGAAGCACCCTGTCTGAGGCAGCCCACTCTCCAGAGTAATGGCAAGAATTCAGCATCCTGCCAGGACTGAGGAAAGAGCCGGGTGGGGTCCTCCTGCCATGATGTAGATGGGACTCCACCCATCAGTGCCGAAAAGCTGCTGGACTGGGCAAAGCCCAGGGTTGGGAACAGGTGCACTGTGGGCCACTCCCTTGGCCGCAGTCCTGTCAAGGGCCTGGAAGGTGACACTGACCAAGAGTATAGAATCACATGGCCCTTGTAGTCCCCAGCACCTGCTGTGAGCCATGGGAGGAGGGGCAGTGTGGTCATAGGACAGGGCCTATGGCTACCGGAACCCATGTGGTGACTAGTGGCCTGCCCTGCCCTGGAAGTTCATTTGCAATGTGATTTTGACAGAAAGACGAAAAGTGTATAAAGAATCTGACGCCCCACAGACGGGGAGGCAGCACTTCCCAGGGATCCAGGATATAGACAAACCTCAGACCTATGTGTCCTTGCTCTGGCCAACCAGGTGCCTGGACATGGGATCTGACACCATTCCAGACTCCTGGCAGCCACCACCCTCCCCGTAGACTTGGTCATGTGTCCCCACACTGCTGATGACTAAAGGTGGTTTAGTGTGAAGGAGGGTATACAGCAAGCATGCCCAACCCACCTCTGCCTCAGTTTCCCCAGCCGTAAAATGAGAATGACAACGATTTCACAGGCTGAGGCACAGAGCATGTGGGAAGGGGAATCAAAGCACACCAGCAAGAAAATGTCAGATATGTTTCTGATCAGGGCTCCTCTTGTGGGGAGAGGGGGCTTCCAACATGGCCAGGGTCTTAGGGGGCCTGAACACCCTATGACCACACAGTTTAAAGTGGTCATTTCTGGGCAGAGCTCACACATTCCATGGGATTGTCAAAGGGGGCTGTGACCCAGAGAAGAAGGGTTTGAAATGTTTGCCCGCACCCACCACCTCCCTGGGGGAGGGAGGGTGTCAGACACTTCTGTAAAGGACCAGACAGGACTCAGCCCCAGTCCCAAGACTCGGCCTGACTCGCTCCAACAGCCAGACCACTTTCATATCTGGCAGGCAAGTTGGATTTCAGTGCTAATTACTGGGCTATTGTCTGCACTGAGTTCACAGCTTGTGATTCTGGGTTCGCCAGCTCCTTGAAACACCCAAAAGCCTTTGCCTGAGGCATCAAGGGGCTCAGCCCTGGCAGCTGGCAGGCCGCCAGACACCTGGAACTAGGCCTCACTGTGACAGGTCTGGTTGGAGTCATGAGGACACAGTGGAGGGCACATTGTCTGGGGTCCCACACCCCCCAGAAGCAGGATCACCACCTGGAGCTGATGGAAACAGGCCAGGCAGCTAGAAGACTTGGGGATTATGGGTGCTGTTATGGTCTCCCCTCCCCGCTCTGGCCATCATCCCAACTGACCAACTTACTTGCAAGTGAGCTGGCTATGGCGCAGATACCAAACCCACATCTCATCTATGCCCGAGAGGAGCTGACAGCAGGTTGGCGTTGCCCCCACCCACCACCACTACCCCACCCCGAGGCCAGCGGGGCTGAGGCGTGTGCGATGAGCATCTCATCTGCTCAGACCCCAGCCAGTAACACTGGCCCGTACCCCTGGCTTTTCCCCCTCCTCTCGTCACCCTCTCTCTTCCTCCTTCTTTTCTCTAAACCTGAAAAGAGCAAGTTCTAAGTCAGCTCAAGATGTTACAAGTAAATATCAGAAGGCAGTGTGAAGAAAAAGTCACAGCCACCATGTGACTGGGTCCCTATGCGCAATCATTAAGTCCACCGTGGCCTCCAGTCTCACAAACACCCGGGCAGGGCTGCACCCAATCCCTATTTCACATAGATGTCAATTGAGGCTTAGAGATCCCAGTGAATTTCTCAAAACAGAACCCCAGGCCTGCCCACATGCAGTGTAGGCTCTACCTGACACCAGGTGGAAGATACTTCAGGTCATGGGTACCTCAGAGGAGCAAAAGCTAAGGATCCCGCCACCCCCACCCATGTGCATCTGGTCCCATCCTCCACCCAACTAGGATAGGGAAAGAAGAGAGCAGGCAACCAATCATCTGCTGTAGCCACTTCCCTGACGCCTGTGCGTCCCAGGTGGGGGTGCCCACAACTCAGACAGGCTCCAAGTCTTTTCCACAGCTCAACAGAGGGAGCAGTAGACCCATTCAGATCCTTTCTGAGAGCTTCTCCCTTGAGATAAAGGACCAATGAGGCCACAGCTGTTTCTGAACCACAGCCTCTCTTACAGAGGAGACCCTCATCTGTGCCCCCAGCCAGGCCCCCAGCAGAGTCCTCTTCAGACAATTTACAGAGGGAGGGGCCCTGGAAGGAGGGATAAACTAATTTCAGCAACTACTAACACTTTTTCATTAAGCAATAAATAATCCTTATAATCCTAGTCATAAATCAAATTCCACATGGCCACCAAGAAAAGAATTAACGAATCTAGCTTCTCGCCTTTCTGATTCATTAGCAGCAGGAAAACACCAGAGCCATGCTACAAATGGGCCCTTGTCATCTTTTCCTCATTTATACTGTCCTTAGGATCATTCTGAGCACCAAAGCCACTTCATAGCACAATTATTTTTAAGAGTTCTACAAACTTGGTTAATTACAGAATCATAAGTTTTTGATCTGAAACTGATTTTTAAAAATCCTCACTTGAGAATATATTTGATGACTTTAGAGAGAGGAAAGGGGGAGAAATAGGAAAGAGGAGCGGGTAGAGGAAGGGAACGGGGGTGGGGGGGCAGAGAGAGAGAGAGACAGAGAGAGAACTCTATTGCCTTCTGGATGTGCCCTGATCGGGGATCAAACCCGCAACCTTGCAGCGGTGTCGAAACTTTTGGTGTCTCTGGGCCACACTGGAAAGAGTTTTTAATGTGGCCTTGGGCCACACATTAAATACACTGTGACACATAATCACTCACACACACACACACACACACACACACACACACACACCCCCCTCATGTTTTAAATAAAATTACGATTTTGTGTTGGGCCGCATTCATAGCCATCCTGGGCTGCACGTGGCTGGCAGGCCACAGGTTGGACTCCCCTGGTATGGAATGACACTTCAACCAACTGAGCAACTGGGCGGGGGCTCACAGCACAATTTTTTCACAAGCAGAAAGAAACTGTTGTGGGATATGCCCAGGGGACTGAAAAGACCAGCCAGCAAAATGAGAGCTGTGCTCTAAACACAGTACACTCCGGGGCACATGCCTGCAGGGATGGGCTCCAGGAAGAAAGTGGTACAGACCACCCTTTTTCTTCATGAGTAAAAATTCTAAACTGACTTTTGGGCAATAAGGAACACTCAGGAACTTTATGTGGCTTTTCTCTGGGGACTTTCACTGCCTTCTCAGAAGTCTACTCCTTGGACAACCACAACCTCTCACTGTCCTGGATGAGAATAGCCATGCCGGTCCCCTAGGCTGAGTTCCGCCAGCCTGAGACAAGCCCATGGCCTTCTCCAGACCGAGAAAGGCTCTAGACTCGTGCTTGCTCTTGCAGATGGCTCATCCTTCTGTGTTACTGAAAAGCCTTTCCCATCAGAAAAAGTCACACACATACACGCACGTGGATCACACATTCACACAGGTTGTTCAAAGAACAGCTATGGTGACAGCTGACCAACACATGGAAAATGACACCCTTATCCCTACCAAAAGGGGTTCCATGGCATGACCAGCACCACTGGGTGGGCAATACCAGACCACAGGTGACCTCCCGTGTATCCACCGCAGCCCTCTAGAATCTGTGAGGATTTACCTACATAAACCCGTAAGTTTTAAACAGGGATCCATTTTTAAAGACTGGAGAGGGGGCCCTTTAAAGATATTATCTACTTCATTAGATAGTGGGTTCAAACATGATATTGTATCTAACAACAATGAAAAGTGGGCAATTAAAATTCTCCTAATAACAAAACAGCCCAACAAGGTCATCTTGCCTTTAGAGTGGCTTTTCCTCAGCCAATCCAATGCATCATCCCATAAAATCCTCATCTCAAAGCCCACCAGAAGCCAGAGGCTTTCCTATTCTGAGGCACATCAACTACTGCTATAACCATTTCTAGATTTGGATCAAAATTTTCAAAGCTGAGATCCACATCACTGGGATCCTGTCGCTAAAAGGTAAATAACTTCCCCGTAAGCAGCAGCTCGTTGAGGCCAAACAGGAAATCCGCCTTTCATGCTGCGTAAGTGTCGTGCAAAGAAAAAGAAAAAGATTTTATTGGTCAGCTCTGAGGGACTGGCTTATGTAAGGAAGTAGACCGCCCAGAAGAGGCAGGGACGGAATTGCGGAAATTCCCAGCTTTTATGCGAATGAATGAAAGAATGAGATGCACGTGGGTTCTGGACCCACTGACCTCAGCCTAGAACCTTGGGGATGGTCTGGGGATGGACGGGATACGAAGACGGCGGGGGGGTTCAGGGGTGGTCTAGAGATGGGGGATGGCCCAGGGGTGCGGAATGGCCCGGGGACCCCCCACCCCCGAAATAGGCCAGGTCCCGTGACGATACTCACGCACGCAGAGGCAGGCCACAAGCTTAGCGGCCTCCTCGGGCACCGGGCAGGTAGGGAAGAGCGGCTTGAGCAGGTAGGTGGCGAAGACGAGCGCCACAATGTACTGCGAGGAAGGCCGGATAATAAGCAGCTCGATCCAGAGCTTGAGGAAGGCGGGCAGCGAGCCGTAGACTTCCAGCATATACGCATAGTCACCGCCCGATTTGGAGATGGTGGTGCCCAGTTCGGCGTAGCAGAGAGCGCCCACGATAGAGAAGACACCACACACAGCCCACACCACCAGCGCCAGCCCGGGTGAGCCCGCCTCCTTGAGCACACCGGTAGGCGTCACGAAGATTCCCGAGCCGATGATGGTGCCTACGATGATGGCCACGCCGTTGAGCAGCGTAATGTTGCGCTGCAGGGTCACACCCTCGCTCTCCAAGCCATCAGTACCTTCTGCTCGCCGCGCCCCAAGCATGTGTTCCCGCGCCTGCGGCTCCTCCTCTGCCGCCGCCGCCTGGGCGGCCGGCGCTCGCCGCTTCGGGCCCACGCCCACCATCCTGCCGCGCCGAACACGAGGTGCGCGGCCTACCGGTGTGAGGCTTTTGATCCGTCTGCTGCCTTTTTAAGCTCTAGACCAGCCCGCCTCCGGGCCCCGCCCTGGCCCCGGCCCCGCCCCCGCCCCGCCTCCGACGCTTTAAGGCCTAGCCCTGCCTAAATGCTCCTCACAGTGCGGCTTCCTTCTTTTTTTTTTAAATCTCGCAGGAGCGCGTCAGCTTTCGCGCAGGTGCACTCCGTGACTACTCCGCGCCGATCCTTAAAATCAGTCTCGACCACACGTGGTTCAGCCGTATTGTAGCTATGGTTCCCAACGCGACCCTGGGGTCCTAGCTTCCCGTCTGGTTCTGATCGCTACTCGGCAGTTGTGCGCCCCACCTTGGTTCCAGACTGGCAGCAGGCATTGTAGCCGGGCCCACCTGGGGCCACAGCGCGGGGAATTTGGGGTGACTCTGGGGCTCAGAGGAGGCCTGCCTATTCCCTGGAGAGCGCCCAGGCTAGTGGGGCGCGGGCTTCCTTTCGACAGGTTGCGGTAATAGTCTCCCACAGTCCCCTAGGAGGTAAGAAGAGGACCAAAACTACCCCTCCTAGAGGAGGCCCTTGGTTCACCTGGGCCTAGGGTACCGAATCACAGGGCTCTTGAGGCCAGATTTCGGAAGCTACAAACAGCTCATTCCTGGGCTCAGAAGTTCCCATTTATCCCAAGGGGAATCTCCTTGCCTTTAGGATAAATGGGGAAGAGCAGCTTCTGAGGGCAAGCAGCTTTGAAAAACAGTGACAGGCTTTTGGGAAACCAGAAATGTGCATAAGCTCAGTTAAATTGACAAAGGAACACCTTCAGTACTCCACCCCCCAATCTAGCTTGGAAATTCAAGGAATTTTAAAGGCAGGTAGCAGGTAAAGGGGCTTTAGCCTGTTGCTCTTGAAGAATGTAAGAGGCGCCTTAGGTAAGAAGGGCAGCCAAGTAGTCAGAGAGGGATGACCTGTCATTCCAGGCCTGCAAGATGTTAGGGTAGTAAAACACAATCTCTAGTCTTGCTCTTCTCAAGGTCCTTTCAGAGGGTGCAGCGTGGCAGGAGGCTGGACCGCAAGGGCCAAGCAAACTTACAGAGCCCTTTCTGGGTACCGGGCACTGTGCTGAGCCCTCGGAGTGCAAATTCTTACTTAATAATAGGTAATTCTTAATTACTTAATAATTCTTACTTACTTAATAGGTGCTATTATTAGAGCCATTTTGTAGAGAAGGAAACTCAGGCTTAGTGGAGTGATGTAACTTTGACCAGTAAGTGAGCTGGAACCCCATCCTACTAATGACCCCTGAAACCTATATGTACTTTTAGTCGTTCTGCTACCCTTTTCCTGTGGTTTATTCACTTCCAGACTGTTAAGTTTTTGTTTTTCATAGCAGCTAAGACTTGAAAAAATCTCAGAATGGATTTTGGTTCCGCAAGGAAGGGCATCATTTGGCAAAGCTCTAAGGCCAGGTCCTGAGCACCTCTGCCCAGGTTCTCGCAGCCAACGCCTGCAGGGTGTGTTGCCTGTGCTGGCCGGTGCACTAGGCCCCAGGCACACAACAGTGAATGCCACCTCCAGTAACAGAAACAGTCAATCATCACACACACACAAGTGTAAAATTACAGCGTGATAAGCTAAGGGTACTACAAATACCCAGAGAACCCATCCGAGAACCCATCTGAAAAAACCAGGCCAGCCCAATCGTGCTTTCCTGGGGTGAGAATTAACAAGGGGAGATCTAGAGAATACCTGTGCCCTTGAAATATTGGCATTCCCCCCCCCCGCCCCCGCCCACCACAGGATCCTTGGGAAGTTGCAGATCTTCACGCTGGAAGGGTGACAACATCTGCAGACCATTTTCAAGGTTTCACAGGATCTCAAGAGCCCACTGTCTTGCCACCACTGTCAGTTGGTTTCCATATACTGTCCTGTTTCCTCCTGCAAATCTGCTTTGATTTGTACGTATCAGAAGCCCTGAACCGTGGAAGACTCTAAAACCTTAGCAAAGAGTGCCATCTACTGTTGAAGTGCATAAGGAGCATGTTCATACACAGATTCTCAGCACTAGCAAGTAATCAAAGTCGTGTCATTTGTTTTCACCAAAGTGGAGAAAAGAATATCGTGAACATTTCTGTAGGGGGAAATTTGGGTGTCTCTGGTGAAACCTTAAAACCATGTGTCCTGTCTAGCCAGTAATTTCACTTTTAGGAATTTCTCTAAGGAAATAAGCATGCTGTGTTTTGGTTATGTACATGGTTGCTTATTATAGCTTTAAAACATAATAGCCAATATTGGAAATAAACCAAATATCCAACAGATTTCCTTTGGTAAATGTTGCTATATCCACATGGTAGAATATAGTATAATCATTAAAAATCAAGATGTAAAATAATCTTTGCTGGACAAATATGTTCATGATGTATCATGAGTGAAACAAGGGGGTGTATAACCCTCTCAGGCTGCATTTGATGGTCCCCTTGGGTGCTTTGGCTGAGCTAGGACCCCATGTCCATTTTTCACGGTCTGGGAAAGCTGCCATTTTGTGGGAGCGAGCAGTGCCTCTCAAGTACAGGGTGTCACTTGGCCTTCTGGGGAAGCACGTTTTGTCTTGGGACAGGAAGGACTGGCTTTGAAGAAGCTGAGCCGCCCTGGAGGAGAATGTGCACTGCACTTGAGTCAGGCAGAGCTGCGTCTGTTGGAGGGGTTGTAGGTCAGAAGCCCTTTTCGGAAGCCTCTTTCTCCTGCGTGGAGTCCCAGGGGCTCTGGGCCCACCTGAGGAGAGAAGAGCCTGCCACGGGCCCTCCGGCTGCCAGACGACAGGATGCAGGTTGGGCCAATGGAGCTGCCCTTCAAGCTTCTTCTGCCCACTTTCTGAAGTCTCATCAATTATTTCCAAACCTTCAGTGATCCTCAGATCCCTGATGGCAAAGTATGGGCTGTAGACAACAACAGAGTGGGGAAAATGGTGAAGGGGGTCAAAAGGTACAAACTCCCCATTACAATATAAGTATGTCATGGACAGCATGGTGACTGTACTGTTGACAATACTGCAGGGTATATTTGAAAGTTGCTAAAAGGGTATATCTTAAAAGTCCTCATCACAAGAGAAAAAAAAGGTAACTACATGAAGTGATTAGATGTTACCTAGACTTACTGTGGTGATCATTTTGCAATATAAACTATGAAATCATTAGGTTTGTATACCTTAAACTAATATTTTATATGCCAATTATGCCTCAATATGACTGGGGGTGGGGGCAGGCAAAGGGGGTGGGTTTTAATGGCAGCAGTTCAAACCATGGGCTTGGAGTCAGGCTTTCTGAGCTCTCACCTGGCCTCACTGCACACCAGCTGAAGGAACCTGGGCAAACCCTATTCTTTGGGCCTCAGTTTCACTTGCTATAAAACAGGAAGAGTAGCACCTCCTCTTCAAATGAACTTATGTGGGTAAAGCACTTAGAACAGCATCTATCGCAAAAGAACTCAATAAAAGTAGCCACTAGTGGTAGTAATAGTATCTATAAAAGGGCTATGAAATTGATTAAACATACACCAAAATGGTAATAGCAGCCATCTTCAGGTGGAGGGGGGATTATATACAGCAGGTCCTCCAATAATGTTGTTATAACGCCAATGAGATGCTGTAGGAACTTAACTCTCGTTCATATTAATTAGCTGATGGTAAAACGGGGTTCACTTCAAGTTGCAGAGCCTATTGACAACTTGCCATATGATGTAAGGACTTGCTTTATGATGTGGTTCTTTTGCATATTTTCCTGGTGTTTCTAAACTTTGTATGAGCATATATTCCCTTTACGCTGTTAATCCGAACGGAAATTCACCCACAGAACACGGGCTGCCTCGTGGCTCGCTCTCCCCTTCCATGGGAGCTGTGCGTTCCTCTCCTCACTACGGTTTGTGTCTCTTCCTTGGGAAGAGTGGGGCTCCATAGAGTCTCCCTTCTGGTCATCTGGCTTAGTCTCTGACTGCTGTTTGTAGGGATGGGCAAACTCTGATGTTTTTGGCCTTGGGAGAGAACAAGTTTGGCCCCCTCACCCAAGGAGCGTTGAATGGCCTTAGAAAGCTTTTATCAGCAGAAGTGGATTGAGTTTCACAAATATTCCAAATAAAAGTCATCACCAGGTGTGTTTCACTTAAAGCAAGCCTATTGTTTCTGTAGGTAAATAGAAGTTACAAAACACATTAGAGTGGTTTTCTGCCTTGCAGACAGACCCTTTGCCCTGATAGACAGTGGATTCACTTTATCTTTCAGGGTTTAAAAGACTTGCCTACCACCGCCCCCCACCACCGGCCCCCCACGTTATACTTGTTTTTCAACCTTGAAAATGAAACAGCTAGTTATTTCACCAGCAAAAACGATTTTATTTGGGAAGAGCAAAGGAATGCAATTCAGGACATGCAGACCACAGGCAAAGCCCAAAGAACAGGAGGGGAGGATTTTTTTAATAGAAAAAAAAAGGAGGAAGTTGGGAGGGGTGGATATGAGCAAAAGTCCATTCAAGGAAAGCGAGACTTCAGGGTGATTCTTATTGGCTTGGCTGTTGGTAGGTGAGGAGAAAATCTTCCTTCCTCCCTCGGGTGCGAAGTAAGCTGCTTTCTGCCCTAGTTCTTAAAGTGAGTTGTGATGGATGGTACAATACACGTGTGAGAGATTCCACTTCAGGGGACTCTACTTTGCATGAAGTTTTCCGTTATTTATTTCCACATGTTCCTCAGCGAGCCTGCCTTTACAGCTGGCTTAGAAATGCACTTACTTAAATGCGTGCAGAGAGGCTAGTGGCCTGGCTTTAGAGGTATGCTCTAGTAGTGTAACCATGTGTCAGCCTGTGCTTCAGCTTCCACATCCGTTCAATGGGAAATGATAGTATGCATCTGAGGTTTAAATAAAATAAGGCAAATGCAATATCTCACAGAGCTCCAGAGCACAGAGGTTCACAGCTCGCCCGTCTAACTGGGTTAAACCCGTGTTTCCTCATAAGCAACCACAACAGAGCAGCAAGG